TTAAACCTAATTAACTTTAAAGTACTTTGTCTAGTAGGAGTTAATTAAAATTTAACTAACTATCTCTATCTGTCTAGTAATATATATATATATATATATATATATATATATATATCAATAAACATTAACTATTAATGTAATTGTTCTTTTTTAAAGAGTGAAAATTAAATATGTAAATACATTCTTACCTCTTCTGCCTCTTTAAAGTTTCCTGTTGCTGCTTTGGCTTGAGCATAGTTGAAGCTAAAAGTGTCATCATTGTAGAAATAGCTCTGTTATATAAAAAATGTAGACAAAGCATTAAGAACAAACTGCTCAACTGTTTTACAACAGATCCAAATGTTCAAAACCTAAAGTTGTTTAAACCTACTAATAGACAATTTATCAATTAAACACACAAATTAATAAAAAAGTGTCCATTGAACAGTTAAGTGCATTTCCAGAAGTTATAAATATTATCAACAAAAAAATATTATTTTGGAAATACTGTAAGTTTTATCACTTAATAGGCACAAAAATGTTTTCAATGAAAGAGAGAGTTTTCTATGTGCTTGTAAAAAATATACTGCTAATACAATCAAAGAATAATTAATTTTCCATTCAATCTGTAACAAGGCACAAATACTATTATTAAATAATGCCAATGGCAACAGAGTTCTTTTTTTTTTTATGAAAAACAAGTGTCAGGTGACTAGTCATGTGATCTGATATGAAGCAGTATATAAAGCAAAATAAATTAAGAGTGTTCTCAGGAGTTTGAACAACAAGAAAATGTGCAGAGAGAGATTGATAATGAAACATGCCAGGACTCCAACATAAAATATGTCCATTTTCATGGTGTGGAAAGCAACAGCATAGATAAACATAACTAGTCATTACAGAATGGCTACAAGTCTGACAAAGTGTGGTTAGCAGGAGAAGGACTCACTTTCAGACCATCAATGCAATTGATCTGGACAGAGTAGAACACTGTTGACAAGACCCTCAACTGCTACTTAATTCAGCCAATGGACCCCAGTTTTTCAACTCAATCAACAGTTTAGTGCAGAAACTAGACAACAAGTCAGCAGTGGATCATATTATCCCAGAAATGCACTGAGTCACTCACCTGAAGCAGGCCACAATGACATACAAACCACATTAATGCCTGAGGCCATCACATGCCTTATTAACATGTTTTCTGATCATTTAATGGTCTGCAAAGCTTGTGGTACTAAATGAAGATTTGTGGACATTGTTTACAACTGTAAACACTTGCATATCAATTCATCTGACTGGTTATCTGACACCTACTTTGCATAAAAAATGTACTCAGGTATGCCACTGAAATGGTTTAAGAAGAGTAGTTGTGCCCTGTCATAGCTAGAACATAATTTAATCTGATTATCCTTTAACTGTTTTCAGCAGTGTAATTAGTTTAAAATCCTTCAATTTCACCTTGTTCAGAATTGTACTGCAAATCACTGGATATTCTGCATAAGCATCCTTAAAGTGTAATTTGTTTACATAACTATTAAAAAAAAATGAAGCTTTACTTACAATCTAAAGTATTTCTGATTATAATGTATTACTTTATATTTTTCCAAATTTGTTAAGCACTTTAAACATGCAATTCATTATAATAGGTACAAAGTGGTAACACGCATCTTGCATGAATAACAGACTGTACTTAATTAATCTAAAATCATTCTTTCCTTAACCCTCTTACTACAGGTTACAGTGTGCATGTCACAAACATTTACAGAGTTAAATTCAAAATTTAATTAAACTAATTTATGATAAATGTATACAACAGAACTTGCCATCAAAATGTAGTAATAAATAATTTTAATATAAGTTTTAAGTTCTTAATTCTATTCAGAAGTATTTTTAAAACATCCTCAATGTCCTCTAGTATGAGAATTGTGATATTTGTTCTCTATGTCTTCCCTCTTCTCTAATATATCTACCACCCCTCTCTGAAGTACAAAAGTTAACATAAATTATTCAATATAATATAGGTATTACAAAGACAAATTCTAATTTTTATAGCCTTCAATCTTCTTTGTTTATGGAGACATAGACTAGAATGACAAAATCACTTGCCATACCCACCTGTCACATCCTCTCTTTCCCAAATTGCCAATAATTCTCTTTGTTTTATATTGAATCATTTATAACCAATAGAAAAATAAAGCTTTAGTCAATCAAATGATATATGATATTATGTTGTTTTCAGTACAGAGTAGCATGTTTTGTCTTCGGTTTGGAAGTTTCTCTTGCAGTGTTCAGATCAAGAAGTTTATTTAATGTCATAGTTAGAAAGCCAGTTAAATTGTAAGTTATAGGACATTACTTGCTTTGTGTGTGTTACTTCTCTGTGTTCTTAGGTGCATTATTTAAGGAAATAAAAATTATTTAATGTCCTAGTACTATCAGTATAAAAAGGTAGGCTTAAATTTCATCAGATCGACAGCAAAGAAACAAGAGGTAAAGGTAAGTACAACATTTCTTGTTATTCATATATATTTTTCATTTATGGTTATAAAAGTTATTAAGATGTAAAAATTAGAAATGTATTAGGTTAGATTAGGTAGGACAATGAATAATGATAATTCTCCACAAAATATGCTTGCATATAGCTCATGTGTTGCATCTTTCAATATGGTAACTTAAGTTACGCATTTACAACTTGTATGGCAGGATTATTAGTTAAAACACAGTTCAAAAAGTAATAAAACAATAAAATTAAGTAGAAACAGATGTAAACTGTTATGAGCCTTAAGCTGTTTAAGATAAACAAATGTATTTCATATTTCCTGTTACAATTTGCAATCATTCTAGAAAGAAAAAATTATTATTCAGATTTCTTATTTTTTATGGTGGAAACAACGTTGGTCAAATTGACTGAGTCCATATATAGTTAGAGTGCAGAAAATAACAGACAGAATATAAATTTCAATTGAAAAAAACGTTTGATATTTATTTTGGAGGTTTTAGAGGTTACAGAAATAAAATTTGAAAAGTATACTTAATCTTAATATGAAAATCACTTTGTATTCAGAGCAGTCAACACTTTGATTCCATATATTCATGGACAAATCTTTATTAAAAATGGTTAATCAAAGTATAAAAGACTGAAAGCTTGCCAAATTTCATGAAGATACATATACGATATAAAGTTATAGTTTGGAACTTCTGACAGTTACTTTAGTTTAGGGTTTCAAGGTTGTTGTAATCCAGCAATTTCGTATGGAAAGGGTTAAATTAAAATATACTCATGCATGCATGTAAAACAAAACGTTTTGCTCACCTTGATAGAGTTCAGATAGAGTAATACATCATCAAACTGTTTCAGCAGAAAAAAACAAGATGCCATACACTGCCTCCCTGGTATAGTATCTGCAATGAATAAAGCAAGTATCTGCTAAACAAATGATAAGATAGATTACAACCATATTAAGTCATTGAAATATTACATTAATTTATGTACACATCATACAAATTCTTTAAGTACATTGAACTTTTTTAACTACTCTTTCTAATCTTTCTTCTGGTAACATTTTTTTCCAACACCAAAAAAGAATTTATACTTAAAGGCCCCTACACAATCATGTGCAGGTAACTTAATTATTTACTGAGTTCTCAGTCTTTAAGTAGTAGGAAATGACTATATATATATAGGCACATTCTTAGTAGAATGTTTTATATTCTTACATCAACAACCACTGAGAAGATAAGTAGGAGTGAGTACATTCTGTATTTAATTTTGCTGATAGAAATGGAGATCTGAAATAGAGTACTGTACATACAGATGGAAAATAATCAAAAACACACACTGAAGTTGCTAAGAAAAGAGAAGCAGCATACAAGTGGCCCATGGTTAAGTGTGAATGAGAAAACTATATTGAGGTGTGCATGAGGATAATGTACTCTACTATACAAGTTTGAATTTCTGAGACTTCCTACCTCTCACATATGATCAATACTACCAATTTTATGTTTAATCATAAAAACAAATTAACAAATTTAGAGTTCTAGCCAATGAAAAACTTTACTTATCTCTAATCTTTTTCTTTGTGATCTAGAACTTTGTTACCTTTCTTGATGTTTCATACCTGAACTCTGTAGAACTGTCAATGTTACACAAGTTTCTTAACTAGAACATCCATTAAACAAAAAAACATTTCATTAACTTACCACATTCACTAGCTGAACCTCCCACAAGCTGAAAAAACTGTTGTGCTATCTTAAGATGCTCTCTCTATAATGTAAGAACAGACTGATGTATTTCACCATTTTCTTTAAAAACTGAAGTTATGTATATAACAAAAACTTTGAGTTGGCAATGAGCTTGGTCAAACATTTTGTGAGAATAAGAGGACATAATTATAATCAAAAAAAGTTTTCACAACTCTCATTTTCATTCTCTGAATTTTTTGTTTTTTACAGTCCATAAACCTTTTCTTACATATTATTACAATACAGGTGGCATGAAAAACTAATATTATTACTACCAGGGTGACTTATGTACAATTGAAATTATTGGTACTACAGTAAATTGGTCAAATCATTTCAAGGACTAGTAATTGTTTTAGAAGTACAGGTATTAAATCATGATATGTAGAAGAAAAACACAAGATCTGCAATGAATCTTAATTTCATAATCTTGGTGACACTCAAAGCACATGTATACCAGTAAACTGAATACAGAATGAGCCATTTCACAATATATAAATGTGTAAATCACTAGATGCTAGTTGAAACTTCAATTAAATATTTACCAAAAAATATACTTTCACCAAGTCTAAGATACCAACACTGGTAATATAACCTTGTCTAATCAGTATTGGAGTTATATGAGAGTAGTGTGTATTCTTTCTTACAATGTTACCAATCTAATAACTTCTGGCATCAGAATCTATCAACAGTGACATCAGAAAAGGCATGTTTCTACCATTAGAAAAAACTGTAGCTGCCTAGCCACTGGAAACTGACTATGGACTTATGACAACAAATGCCAGATTGTGTTCCATTCCTTCAATAACAGTTATAATTTGACTATCTTCAACCCTCCCATATAAAGGATATCACAAAACATACCATATGACAGCCAATAATCAGCCCAAAACTACTTATCTCAGATGCAAACAGGAAAGCACTGTTTCTTTGGTGCTTACTTCACAATGAAAAACACTGCTGCACTGGTGCTTTCATACATGAAACTACTGCTTCATTGGTGGTTATGTCATATAGGAAAGCACTGCTTAATTGGTACTTATGTCACACAGGAAAGTACTGTTTTAGTGGTGTTTTGATCATACAGGAAAGCACTGGTTCACTGGTGCTTACATCATATACATTGTTGATAATAAATAACAGAAAGTATGTGACGTGGTCTAATGAGTTGCATTTTACAATTTTTTGTATTGGTCTCAAAAGTCTCCGTTTATGTTGTTCCAAAAGTGCAAGTTACTAGAGGTGACGTAAGAAACGATGCTGTGGTAATGGTTTGTTTCTTTGATTTATTTTATGATAAAGGAAAATAAAAACCAGGGTGTACCTAGATATTATCCACCCCAAAATATTGCATTTCCACTCTGATGAACCAGGGCTGTTTTAAGATAATGAGAAACAATGCACTGGGCTTGAATTGTCTGATGTTAGAGTAAAGAAAATAGGAAACAATCCACTTGGCTTGTATAATGTAATGCTGGTTCAAAGAGCATGGAGTTATCTTCAGTCATCTTTTTCTGTCAGCACAATTAAAGGATCTTAATCTGACTTAGAATTTTTATTATGAACTTGGTTTACCCATCATAATCATCTGTCAATATGTTCAAAATAATTACAGAAAATTACAAATTATACTACCCATTGTTCACCCCTCATCTACTTATACACGTGCAGAGACTGTAAGGCCTCCTATATTGGTGAAACCAAACGTCACCTTGAAGTACAAACATTTAAACACATGGGTATATCTATAAAATCTGGAAGAATATTTACAAACCTTCCCATCTCTGCTATCTACCAATACAATACAGAAACAGGGCATCCAATTTCTCTCTCCAACTTTAAAATTCTCTCAACAGCCAAACATGATACTGAACTTCTTATAAAAGAAACATTATACATAAAAATTTTTCTTCCATCCTTAAGTAATCACACAGTCTTCATTTGATTTAAACTTATTTTAATTCAACTATTTCATATGTGCCACGTTTTTCATTTTCTCGTGTTATATTTTTATATTCAAATTGTTTACTTCTTATATATATATTTCTGTTGTAAGTACAAATATTGTTTGTTTGTTTTGTACCTCTAGATTACTGATGATGGAATTGTGATGATTCTGAAATGTTTAATAAATGCTTCCTGTTATCACATTTCTGTTTTGATTTATCATTACACTATACTTCAGAATAAATAGGTTGCAAATGAACAAGACAGCCCAGTATACTGTGAAGTCCATAACCTATTGAATACAAGTTACTGTCACTGCAAAAGGGGGTATAACCCAATAATAAAGTGGTTAATCAGTGTAAAAAAACAAATGCTTACCAAAATTAAGTAGGTTTTGAAAGATTGAACAATATACTAAATAAAACAGTCACTATTACCTTATGCATATGGGTGAGTCAAAGTGAGCATTCAAAAGTTACATTCAAAATTTAATTAAACAAGTTTATTATCAATGTATGTAAATAAACCTGATATTGAAATGTAGTTTATAATTAAAATTTTTTATATTATCTAAGTTTCAATTTCTTAGTTTCAAAATAAGATATATAAATAAGTTATCAACCTTCACTTCTCTGTTCAAGTGATAAGTTTTGCACACATATTTTCTTTCTCCCATTTATGGGTTTCAGAAGGTTCAACCAATTACAAACATAAACTACAGATAATGGCAGGTTAGCATATATAATTTAAACCAATCAAATTAAAGCTTGTTGCGTATTGAGAAAAGTCATTGCTCCAGGCAGTAATAACTTTTCCCTTATTTATAGCTTAGTTAGATAGCCAGATAAATCATAGTAGTTTTAAACATTTATATTCTAATACCTGATATATCTTTTATATTCTAAAGTGCATATTTAAAAGCTACATGAATTGTTTTTTAAACAGTCAACGTAGTGAGAAAAAAGTATGGTTACTAAAGCACAGCATACGAGTGCAAAAAAATCCTCAGTGCTACAGTAATCGCTAAATTTCTTATTTCTTATGTGTATGCTTTATTTATTGTTATACATTTTTTAATAAAATTAAATAAAATGTTAAATTAGAAACTTATGAGATTAGGTAACAAAACTTATGTGACATGAAATAGAAAAATTTGACGAGATCAGCTTGGGCTACGTGTGTTGCATGATTCTTATTTATTGCTTTTTGCATACTGAGTGGGTCTAAGGTATGGTGTAAAGTAATAAAAAAAAAGCAGATGTGAAAAGTACAGAAACTAAAGCTGTTACAATAAATAATTGCAACTATCTGTTACAATCAGCAGTCACATTCTGGAAAAAAAAATTACTAAATTTTATTTCATACTTTTCAACTTGTCATTACACTGCACATTTAGAATTTTGCTATCATAGTAAAGAAAATAAGAGATAAAATATAGTTTTAGCAAAACAAAAAAAAAGATATCCAGTAGAGGTTCTAGAAAACTTTAGGATGTCAATTATTATTTTCATTCATAGCATGAAACAAACTTTTCACAGAGATTGACTCATTAAAGGATTAGTAAATTTACAAACAGATCTATAGTTAAATTGATTTAATAAAAATCTGATTTTTTGCCACAGCATAACAACTCAAGAATGGCTATGACTTTTTTTATGTACAAACTTTTAGCTAATAGCTCCATCTTTTGACTAATTTCAGATCTAGTTACAGCCATGGCTATTGAAGATTACCTCTTGTTTTGTGTACAACTTACTTGTAATATTTACTAAAAGCTTGCCAAATTTTGCTAAGATATACTAACTACATTCAGAATTATGGTATGTATTGTTTCATGGTTATGTAATGACAACAAGGTCATTGAAGTTGACTAAAGCTGTGTGTGGAGGGTTACACAAAAATAAATTTAATTGCATGATACAGTCACGCCATGGTCACTTTAAAATAACTATTAAGTTAAAACAAAATAATGGAAGTAAACCTACAGATCCTTGTTCTTGGCCAATAGCAGAATTGACAACTCCTTTTAATATATACTCATGAGGAACAGCAGGCTCTAGATCTTTGATAAGATTGTGAGCTTCCTGGACATCATCTGAAATATGTGATTCATGCACTATTAAATCAACTTACTATTACACATTTGTAAAGCATACAACCTCTAAAATCACTAAGTTTACAAACTGAAGAAACCAAAATGTGTAATATGATCATTCAAAATGGGTAATTCAATCATTCATCATAATAGTATTATATCATGAGTTAAATGTTCCATAGTCAAGCCTTGTACATTTATATGTAAATAAAGTTTAAAATTTCCATAAAATCTATATTATTTATGAAGATCTACTAATGATCAATCAAGATTGGAAATTACTGAACAATTAATTCAACTTTGAAACCAAGATAACTAGTTTGTGATATTAAAAACTAATAACATTACCTACTCTTTTAATCACAGTTATTAGTCAGTTAATCCACTGTAAATGAAAGTCCCCACTAAAAGATAAATGTTGTTATAGCTCATTAACCTGGGAAAATTTCCAAGTGAAAGAAACTAAAAGACTTAACTTTGAGATCAAACAGATGAAGAAATAGGTGCCCTTTACAAAGTCTATGAAACCAATGGTTATCCTTCACAACTTTTTTAGATAAAAAAATAAATATTTGGAACACAAAACAGACAAAATGAACTAAAAAACCTACAACAATTTCAATAATTTTCATGAATATAATACAACTTTTCACTAAGAATTATCTAGAAAGTAGGGTGTATATAATATATGGTAACAAATCTAAATGTTTTTTTTTACATCCAGTCTAGACTATCTTTTCTGACATGCATTGTGAACGATAAAGCATACTTACTAGAAATGTTGCATTTCAATGATATGTCTCATTAATTCTCTCTATTCCTAAGGGATAAGTGAGAATTGTCTCCCATTTTCAATCATTTTCAGTATTTTTAAGCATGATTTTTGAGATAAAATAATTAAGAAGCAAGTCCTGTGATTTATTTATATGCATATGTAGAAATGTTTGGGAATACAATACTAGTTATCCTTACATTACATTTGATTCTCAAAACTACAAATCATTTTTGGTGAAATTCTCTAACATCTTGACAATATTTCTATGCCAGTCACAATCACAAAGATAGTAAGCATTACAACAAAAGTGCAATTATAAATTATATGGACACTAACATTCTTGCCATCAAAGGTTTACTCTGACTACAGTAATGAAAAAGTCTAGGTGCATATTATGTTTGGTGATAAGACAAAATTGACTCTTTGTTTTTTGAATATTAGTGTATATTATATTTGGGAGCATATTATATTCAGAAAATTACACTAAATATTGGAGAAAAACACAAACTTGTCAAGCCACTGTTGTAGAGATACATAGATTATACGAAGTCCATGTTGTTGTTTTTAGAGCAAAGCTATGGAACAGACTATCTGTCCTGCTCACCTGGAGAATCAAACCCCGGATTTTAATATTACAAGTCCATGAATTTACTTTTGACCCACTAGCAGACCTGAAGTCCATAAACTTGATATTAAAATGAGGTTAATTAAGAGCTTTACTAAACCATTACTTAGAAACCACTGTTCCTAGAAACATCTTTACATATCCAAATCTCAAATCACTGTGTGTATCTTAAGCAGTAGACACAAATGCCAAATAAAGTACTGACTGGAAAGAAAACTTTAACCCTCTCACTATGAAAGTGTGCATAGAGAATTACATTCAAAATTTAATTAAAATACTTTATTATTGCATAGCATATGAATAAACTTGGCATAAAAACATAGTTAATAAAACAAACTTTAATACAAGTTTAAGTTATTAATTTTATGAGTAAATATTAAAAAAATTCTCAATCTTACCTTACTATGACAACTGTGATGTTTGCTCTCTAGGTATCCCCCCCCCTTCTATAATTTATTTATCACCCCCCTGAGAAGTGCAAAATATAACGTAAATTACTCATTATAATATTATTATTCAGGCAAAGCATAATTTTTAAAGCCTTCAATCTTATTTGGTTAAAGAGCCATAAAATAGAAAATAAGACACTTCTTGCCACACCCACCTGTCACATTCTGTCTTTCACAAATTGACAATATTTTTCTCTGACATTTAACACCATATTATTTATAACTAATAGAAATCCAGTGTTTTAATATATCAAATGACATAAAATATTACATTGTTTTCTGTACAGAGAATTGTCTATTTTGCTTCCAGTTCAAACTTTATTCCCACAGGAAATACATCAATGAGCTTAGCTGAATTTTTAACAGCTCTTATTGCATAGATACAAAGCCCACCTACATCATCCAAAGACCTGGGGCAAAAGACCACTGTAGGGTGAAAGAAGTCCCCATGGTAAATGAAGGGAGATCGAGATACTGACTGAGACACAAAATGACTAAGACTGGATGCCTAGCTATGGATCACTCAGGAACCACAAAAAGACAGGAATAAATCCTGGAAAATATCGAGAAACTCATTTGATAGAGTCTTTAGCCATTAGGACTAACACTATCATGGATGTTGGCAAGAAATAAGATCCCTTGAAGGAGGGAAAATAATGGGAACAGGAGACAAAGGAGTGAGAGAGCAAAAACATGGAGGGCAAAGGTACATAAACCTAAGGAAACAGGACCAACCAATCCTGAGCCTATAGAATAGTCACTGCCAGGACTGACAGCACTGAAGTCTATAAGCAGTGGAAGGATAGATGAAATCAAATGAACGGGAAGTGGTGATAATGAGAGAAGATGAAGCAGGAGGAAATGAGGTAGACAGAGGTAATTAAGAAGAACAGGAGAAAGTAAAACAGCAAGAATAAGGAAGAGCATTGGCATGCAATCTAAACATATGACCCCAGAGAAATAAGCATTCCTGTAAAATTCATACAGGCAAATGAAAGGAGTCAGACAAAGGCATATGAAAGAAAAGGGAAACAAAAGGATACGAGTAACAAGGGCATCACTCCCCTCATAAACTCTAGCAAAAGATCAACCAAAGACGAAGAGATAAATCCAAGGAGAGAAAAATGCCACAAAAGAGAAGGTAAATGAACAAGCATTTGCTGAAGACCCCTGAGGAGAATGGTGGATTACCACAAAAAGAAAGTGAATGTAGGAAAAATTAGTGGAAAAGGGTAAAAAGTGCAAGATGAAGATGGGACACTTAAGTCTATGAAAAGATGAACAAATGACAAAGGATCTGCCCTCAAGTTGGAATAAAAGACTACAGAGTTGAGGAGCCGAAGAAGTTACTGATGCTAATGAAATAATATGGTGGAAATAAATGGCCACAATATCTGCAGATGCAGAAAATGTTGGAAAGTGAAAATTCAACAATAAATACTTCTACAACAGGCAATGTCTTTGTAGATATTTTCACTTAAAAAACATCTAACTCTGAAAAGATCATGAGCGAAAAAAAAGACACATTGTGACACATGAGTGCCATTTGAGAAGTGATGAGAGTGGTTCATAGTATAGAGGGAGCCAGCTGTACTAGAAGGGTGTGTTGCATTCCTATTGGTTGAAAGTTGCTGCATGCTCACTTGCATGCTACAATGCTGCTATACCACGTGTAATCATGTGAAATTAGGTGGGAGACTCAAACAATAATTGTGCATATAGAGGGCAGCACAAATCAAGGAAAGCTATGTGAGAAGAGATAAGATATAGTATTGGAAGATTCTTAATGCTTACTAAACTTGGGAAATTTCTTGAAGATACACAGAACATATTAGAGGTTATAGTATTAAAACTACAAAGGTCAAGTTGAGGTCAAGAGCTCAACAAATTAGACCAAGCCCATAGTGATAGGGTTAATAATGCGTATATGATTTTAGGTTACCCCCTTCAAACATTTCCATTAATCAGCTTATCAACTTATGCATATTTTTAATCTTTTACTTTGAGAAATATGATTCTGTAATCAGTCAATTTTTTATTGTATGCTCACTTCATTACTTAGAAAAGGAGAGAAACTCTCATTCTTTGATATTGATATTATGAAATTAAATTTTATGTGAAGCTACCTTACAGAAACAGTTATAGCCATTGTACTCAGATCATTCAGTCTACAAGTTTTCAACATGGTTAAACACAGTTAAGATGCCTGCATTCCCAATATGATCTTTAAAACTAACAGTTTACTACAGAACTTAAGGCTGTTTAGCCAAAATAATGACTAAAATATCTTATATTATTTGTTAAAAAATAAATATCACATATTTCAACAGATCTGCACTACAGTGAAACATCCTACATTTGTTGACACTTACAAACTAATCATTATTCAAGAAGAAAATTACAAAAATCAAGGACAAATGTTACCCTCAGGCAGGAAGTCAATATACTGGTCTATGATGCTACACAAGCAGGAAGTCAAGCCCAAAATAAGTAACTTAGAAAAATCTCCTTTCTCACGAGCAGGGCGAAGGGGGAAATCAATATACTTGAACACCCCAGTTTAAGAAAGTTTAATCTTTCCTTTTAAAACTAAATACCTGCCATGATGTTTTTATTTGTATTATGCTACACAAGCAGAAAGTGAAAAGACAACTATGATGCTACTCAAGTAGGAAGAAAACAAAAGACTGATCTATGATGCTACTCAAACAGGAAATAAATAGACTGACTTATGATCTACTCAATCAGGAAGTGAATAAATTGATTTGTGATGCCACTATGATATTTTTCAACAATTAATTACTTCTATTAAAACACTAGCATCATGATCAAACATTATTAAAGTAACACATGCAACAAATGCTGATGCATGCTTTGTGCTTTATGTACTTATATATGCATAATAAGAATATGTAGTAGTTAACCAGAGACATATGTATGTCAATTGGTGTGAGAATAATGAGATCCTACAGTAGGATTAAATAATAATGTATATGATGATATAAGTAATTAATATAAGAAGAAACTGAATAAACCAATAACTTTTTCATAGCATTATAATGATCCCATAAATATTGGAACAATCAGTAATTGTTAAGTACATGCTTATTAGACTGATTTAAAATAGTTAAATGTCATTATATGTAATAAATAAAGCACTATTTCACACATTGACCTAATAAAGTCTTCCATAAATAAAACAATAGATGTCAATGTTTTAAATCACCGACTTCACAAAAACTAAAATATTATTTTACATGTAAATACAGAAATGTAAAACAAGTTATAAGGAAACAAAAATACATTTTACAAAAATCAAGATACCAAAAGTAGAAGACATATTCTTCAAGTATAGCTGAAACTAGCCTTAATTTACTTAATGTAGAGAGCACTGGGTTTATAACAGTATTCTAGCCCAAGAACAGCTCTAAACCATAGGCATGTTTAAGTAATAATAGTCATCTTAGCCTATGACTATACATTGTTGAACAGAAATTTTACAATTACATATGAATGTACAAGAATGATTACCTTGCTTTAAATAGTAGATAACCAAGTTTAGCCTGGCCTCAGGAATTACATCTACAAGTGGAGGAAGAACTTGGAGTGCTCCCTCTCCACCTCGAAACACAACCTATGTTATGGAATAGTGCTAATGAGGCTCTACTTTATCAGCAAACATAAAAATATAATTTGAAAGAGAATAAAATGAAGTACCAAATAATCCTTTTGGTAAAAAGTTAGTTCTTATATATGAATGTAATAGCATAAGACTCACAGATAAACTGAAACACTTCTACAAGCCAATAATACACCTTGAATTAGTTATAAAAACATCAAATTTAACTAAAATGTTTATTAACAAATAGAAACAACTCAAAAGGAAACTAAATCAGAAAATGTTAATAACAAGTAACTAAAAAGTAACAGAGAATGTTTTAATTTTAAATGCCTTTAAATAGTACAAATGTGCAATTATACATGATCATGGACAACTTGTGTAACAACAAAAGTATAACACAGATGAATTTTTTAGAAAATGGAGTAGTGTACCTACCAGGTTATGTTTGATGAGATCTCTAGCAAATGTAAAGGAAGGAGATGCCATATCTTGCAAATTTTTCAGTTCAGCCTAGAATGTATAGTATACATTTATATCATAATCTTAAGCTTCCATATAGATTTGACATCAAGTATCATAATTTTGTACATGTGTGGTTCCCAAGCATGTTACTAATCATCTGTCTTGAGTAGAAAGGGATTTTTTAACCTTCTTTTACAGTTTGAATGCTATTTTTAAAATCCATGAGGCTAATATCATCTATATATAGATTCTGTGACTCTGAAATTCGTTTTCTAAATCACCCTCACAAAAAAAGACAACAATAAAGCCTTCCTATCAAATAACTACAATAACTTTTAGAATTTTTTTCTAGAATTTCCATTTCCTATTTTTGAACATTTTCAATTATGTTCATAAGCTATATGATCAGTATGCCAATCCCTATATACTATTTTTTACAGAACACTATACAACAGCTCAAAAAAAGGAAAAAAGTTTTTTTAGCACAGCAAATGGGTATTGTTTTTTCAAACTGTTCACTTGTTATCAAAAACACTGTTTTCTTAATTGTGTAAGGTACACATAAAATTACAAGGTATTGTATTATATACAATATCTGTGTCAAAAGAATAATACTGTATATGTTTATATTTATAAGGATGGTGACATCAGTACTTGCAAACTGTCAACAGCACACATTTATTTGTTTTTCGTTTGGTTATCTAAAAAAATATTCTTGAATGCATTACAAAGAGCTTCTCACAAAAGAACTTATTTCTTTACCAATAACTTTAGTTTCCTAATTATATACCTCATTTAACAGGAAAACACAAAAAACTTTAAATATATTTTTGAAAAGTAAACAAAATCATTAAGTTTGTTAGCAATATTTGACCTACATAATAATATTACGTTGTATTTCATATTTCTGAATTTTTTCTAAAGACAAGCAAACCTGTACTAAAGAAATGGGAGTTTCTTTTTCCACAAAAACATTTAAGATGTATATTCATCAATTATCATTTAGACAAAAGAAAAAATGTCACATAAAAAAGATGAATGCATGTGTTTGTATTCAATCAATATTCAAAATTAAACTTTGATCTTCTTACAATTTTTATAGCATTTTAATTATTAACATTTTTAGTACAATGTAAAAGTAAGTACTCATTTTTTCCTCTGCTACAATTATTATTTAAATATACATTTGGTACCTTACTCACTGTAAACCACAAAAGGATGTAACATAAGTCTGTGAAAGTTTTTACTGGTTAGGTTCATAAGAAAGTTACCACAGTTAGTGTTAAAATGTCAAAATAATAACATAAAACTTATATACCTGATTATCTGTGTCAGCATTTAAAAAATTTAATAATAACAAACAAAACATGAATCTAATTTCTGTCAGAATTACTTTGTATTTCTTTATGATTTTCACCTAGGCTTTTGCAATCCAGCAAAGATATCCTTAAAAATGTATACTAATAAAAGCATAACAGCACTTGTGAGCAAACTCCAATTTTAAGGATGAAATCGGGCTAATCACTTCAAAATTTGGGAACTATCCTTTTGAGACATACCTTGAAACTTGCTAATATTTAAATATATTTTTTTCAGAATAGTGATCAACTTAATGCAACAAAATATTTTTTACAAAGAGATTACTCAAGCAGTATTTTTTAGTAACAGCATGAATCAGAGTTTACATATATGAGGAACTGAGTACATGTAAACTACAGAAGTGTTGTTTACACCAAAGAAGCTCTTTAGAGAACAAACTACTCAGCACCCATTTTTTTTTTTTTCATGGGTAAGCCACATGAAACAAAGTGTAAATAAAAAATGTTGGCTACCCTTTAGTATACATAAAACAAAACTTCCTTACCTCTGCAGCTTTTCCATTATACAGTCTGAAGTGATTACATGCTTTCAAGTTGATGGCAGTTGCACTGTCAGGGTAATTCTGTAGGTAAACTGCTAAGACTTCCTAAGTAATAAGCAAATACGAGAAAATATTTCAACTTAAAAATGTCTCAGAACATACTGCTTCACCCAATAAATGTAAGTAACTACAGATTTTAAAATTTAGAATAAGAATTCTACTTCCTAAAGTTTTTGACTGACATGAAGTTTCAGTATACTGAGTTTCTATAGAAAGTTATTTCTATGAAATAAATATCTAATTTGTAAATTATATGTTTTGTGTGAAACAAGTTTTCAAATTTGTTTCATTAAATAGCCTATTATAAACATATAATTTACAAATAATTGTTAGTAATTATATTTTCTGCATAACTAAGGAAAAAAAAGGCTTAATTTGACTTATAAAACCTATATTGTTAGTTTTTAATAATATAATAATTTTCTTAAATTAACTAAAGTGCTTTACAACACATGTAAAAATTTTACAAGAGCAGATATTTTCATAAAAAACCAAGCTATGAATGTATAACTTAAAATTCATAATTTAATATACTTGGAACACCTGTATGAACTTTGCAAAGTAATAATCTTAAGTTAAACAAAATCAAAAGTATCACTTTTACATTACAAACTACTTTGTTTCAGTTGATTTTTTATAAATGCAGAAATAATTTTAAAATAAAAATGCATATAAAAATGTTAGAAAACTTGTGCTACACTCACCATTTAATGTACTTCTGAGGTACATTATCCTCATTTACAGTGATTTTGATTCTGTAACTCAAAATGACTGTTTTTGTTGAACTAATTGGATCTGAAACAAGGCTACTTCATGTGTATTTAAAAATTTAAGAAAATAAGTTTTATGAATCAATTTTTGATTTATACCACAAAACACTAATAACAAAATGTGATTACAAGTCATTTGGAATTAACACAATGTGTTCACACTGCTTCAAGCTTTTGGTTACAAATTTTAACACCTTTACCAGAAGATGTTAGAAGCTGCTAAATGCTAGTCTGAAAGTGGTCTCTATTTTATGAATGTGTTACTTGTGCATTACACACTTGAGTTAAATGTGCAAAATTGAATCATATTGATCTTTAAGAACAGTACAGATAACCTTAAAAGTGTTGATTCAATGAATAGTTTTAAAGTCAACTAAAATTCCTATTAACAAAACATTACACTCTTCTTAGAAGATAATATCAGTTACACGTACTAAGTGGTAATCCAGTCAGAATATAAAATGTTTTATTTGATAAGTGCATAATATGAATATAACACAATCAGTCATAACATGAAGGGAAATTCCTATTCTGATCTTGCAGTTAGTAAACATGCACACACATAATACAGAAATCTATAAATATGTAGACACTGTATTATCTTAAATTTACCTAGCTATTTTTCTCTTCTTACTGGTTGAAAAGAGGAATCATGCATTTTTGATAAATTAATGATGCCTTCTGATTAGCTGGAGTTGCATGTGCTTGGTCAAGAAAGGCAAAAACTGTAACTTTGTACTGTAACAGCTGTATGACTCCACCTTGTTGAAAATATTAAATTGTGTTTCACAGGAAATAATTTCATAATCTTGGTTAATTGTTAAGTAATAAAATCTAATTGCTCATTGCAAATGTAAAATTACAGTGCAACTCTTTCTTTATCATTTTTATCTGTTTGATTATTCTTTTAATTTATGACAAGATATTAGGGATGCACAAAGTAACTTAACATATATTTTATAATCTTAGCACTTTTTAGGATTGGCATGTAGTCTGTAAGGTTTGTACAAAGAATTGTTTTGTTCACTAAATTGTTTGTGCACTTTGTTCTCATTATATCGATGTTGCACACATAATGCTTAACTAAATATTTTCAATAAAATGTTACCATACAATTTTATATTAAGAACACAATATATATAGACAAGTTTCTTTAATTCAATTTCTGTTTCTTTAATTGGCTCATTAGAACTGATGTGAGGAACACCACAGCATCAAATCCATGACAATAAGTACAAGTATAGAGATATTATACATAAAATGCCATAAAAATATAAAATTACTGTACATTCAATTACATGAGTAATGTTTTGTTTGATAAGTTCTATCAACACAACATATTCGATTTTCAATATTTTTTATCATTTAAGATATATTGTTTTTCTCCTAAAGTTTGTGGATAAAAGAATGAAAGTCGAAACTATATTTTCATTACAAAAAGATGTAAACATCTGAAAGCTTTACACAATAAATGGTGAACTGATAGGATCATAAACAAATGTCCCATACTTATTGAAATGTTCCTTCATAAAAATGTTTTTCTATAAACTAACAAACAACTTTAATGAAATAAATGTGTAACTTCCCTTAAACTCGTGTTATTCTGGGCACAAAATTAAGATTAAGGATTAAGCAAATAATAATCTGAAGTCATTTTAGGGCATCAGTAAAAAATATAACATAATTTTAACATATAAGAAATAGGTTGTTCCAAGATTATTATTATAGCCAACATGTAGAATGCCCAAAAAATATAATGCTGCCACACACACTTTCCAACTTTCATTAATATAGTTATCAAGCTTTCTCTTTAACTCCCTTAACTTTACTGCCTCCAAGGGCATCCCCTCCCAAAGGCCAATCACCCTGTTAGAAAAATAAAACTGTCTTAGCTGAAGATGACTCCTACCCTACCAAAATTTATATTTGTGTCCCCTAGTCCTACTATTCTTGCTATCAAGTATTAAAAAAGATGATGCATCAATACTATCAATTTCCTTTACAATCTTAAATACCTCAATCAGATCCCCTCTAACTTTTCTGTTTTCAAGAGAAAATAATTTCAGATATCTTAACCTCCCCTAGTATGACAACCCCTCCATCCCAGGCATCATTCTAGTAACCCTCCTCTGAATCCTTTCCAAAAATTCAATGTCCTTCCTAAAGTAAGGAGCCCAAGACTGAACACAGTACTCCAAATGTGGCATAACCAGTGACCTATACGATGAAATTACAGCTGCTTTAGACTTTCATTCAGTATCTCTGTAGATACAACTTAATATCCTATTTTTCCTACCACTAGCAACAGCATGCTGCTTAGATGGCTTCAAAGAATGTCAAAAGATTTGTAAGGCAAGATTTTCTCTTAGTGAAACCACATTGACTATCCAATGAAATTCTTAACTTTGTTAAATGGCTTTGCAAAGCATCTTTTATTAGACTTTCCAAAACTTTTCCTACAACTTATGTAAGACTAATAGGCCTATAATTACTGCGACAATTTATATTACCTCCTTTGAAAAGAGAAGTAAAATTAGCTAACCTCCAATCATCTGACACCTGCCCACTATTCAAGGATTTACGAAAATGTGTAGCAAGTGGCTCACATATCCAATCAATTTTATATTGTCTAAGTTTTGTTCCTTTATTTTAAACAGCAATTAAAACTGCATTTTTTCTGTCACATGATCCACTCACAGTTACAATTCTCAACTTTTAAAAGCTCTTATACAAGAAACTGTGAGTAGTTAATATACTTTTTGCTCAGATGGTCAAAGTACAGTAAACAGATGTATTTTATTACCATCTGAATACTTTCCAACAATTTCTCCCTATATGAAACATTGTAAATTGTTTCTAAGTTTAAGGTCAGTCATGCCCACATGCAAAGTCGAAGCTGTGTTGCTAAGTGATAGTTTGAAGTTGAAAAGCATGCTTATAACCAATAGAAAGAGCAGCTTTCCCACTATTTATTTAATAGCTGAAGAAACATTACCAGTGTATGGATTTGTACTATGAGATAGAAAATAAGCTTAGTTCATTGTTCTCTTGAGGGGTAAGTAGCACTTGGCAAGTGTTTCTTGCTTTATATATATTAGCTTGCATTTATATCTTAATTAATCATGTATTATTTATGTTTGAAAATCCACATTTGAAAGGTTTAATGATTTTTATACATTTAGCTTGTTGTACCTTAGATTTTGAAAGTGTCTGAACAGGATGGCATTATTTGCATGTGCAAGTATTAGTGAAAGAGTTTGTGCATGGGAGTCATCCTATAATACTAACAGAGCTTTCAGGGACTAGTTGATGTACTGGTATCAATAATAAAAGACAAAGAATTGTAAAGGAAAATTAAAAATAAACAATAAGTGAAAAGTTAAAGACGTAAAATTTTCAAAAGACTTCTATGAAGTGCTAAAGGTATGTACATATTTCAATTTTTAATCTTAAACATTTCATTGCATTGTACATTGATGATAATAACTAGAGTTAGTAATACAGCAGAGAAAATAAAAATTAAAATATAAACATTTACCTGAAAAAACTTTTTATATTCATTTAGTTCTAGTCTATGCAAATGAAATGTGAAAACTGTAAGATAATAAGTAGTACTTTTATACTCAAAATAAAAATCACTTTGCATGTAAACTATTCAGAGTCAGAGTGCAAATAACTACATTAAATAACGAATTTTTTTATAAGAAATAGTAGAAAACCCTAAAAATTAAATATTTTACTTATCTAAACTATACACCTGGAAAAAAGTTAAGCACCCCCGTGTTTTTTTCAAGTGATTCAGATTCGACGTTCTTGTGACTGATTATAAATTACCATTCAATCTAAACGTGTTTATCAAATGAAATTATGCATTATTGGGCACAAGAAAACAAGATTATCACCGTAAAATAACAATTTTTAATTTACATATTATGACATCAAAATATGGACAGTTTTCACGCTTAAAATTATCTTTAATAAGTATTGTCAGTGAAAGCTCAATAACGTTATTGAATTGTCAAATCACATTACAAAATGTCAATCATGACCCACACATTGATAATTAGTCATCGAAAAGTCAATATCGGGTATATCC